ATAATTAATATACATAAAATATCAGCAGAAATGATAATCATAAGCCGCAGAAAGCAGAGCAGATTTTAAAATAAGCGTCGGCAGATTTTGAAAATTTTCGCCGCCGGAGATCATCGTCCCTGTGCGCAGAAGATTTTCGGTAAAAATTATTGCCGAAATGAATAGGGCTGTGCGATGTGCGAAGCGCATATATACACGCATTATTTTCTAAACGAAGCGTTTTAGTTTCTTCCGCATACTTCCTTTCAGTAGTCACTTTCAGTTGCCTGCGTGATCTTTTTCTCATAACTAATAAGTAGGAGCATAATAGATAAATTTGTAGCGAATGAAGGGATACAAATTTTAGCTGAAAGGCGCTTTGCATATGTCGTGAGCATTTAGTTTCTCGGCGGCCAGCGATAATACTCAATAAAGTAGTTTCTTCGCTTCTTTTTAAATGAGATTTGCCCATATCGGGCATGTACTGTACAGTATGTCTATAAATGCTATGTGAACTGCTCATCGAATAAATAAAACTGTCTAAAAAAAATTTCATGTGACTTCAACTATTGACTTACAGGCGCGACAGCTTATTTCATTTTCGCGTTCAATAATAGACAGATCTTAATTTTGGACTTTCCGGCGCGTATTTTAAGCAAAAAAAAAGTTTATTCCTTAAAAATAACTGAGACTACTGAACTGTAAAAGAGAAAATGAAATGAGGTGAGGGGAGTGACTCATTTACTAAACAGATAGCTTAATTTATACTACCGGATTTTCAGGCGCGTATTACAGTTTATTTCGGAGTGACAGGACTGACTCAACAGTTAGCTTAATTTTTATACTATCAGATTTTTGATCGCGTATACAGTTATTTCCGGGTGACAGGACTGACTCATAGATAGCTTAATTTTCCTGCTATCGGACTTTCAGGCGTTACATAAAAAACAGCGAATGGTCGCGTTTAGGAACATAAACAATTTCGCGTACATCAGTGTTTAACCAGGGTAATATAAATAGCTTCAATTCTTTATTTTACCAAAAAAAAAACTAAATCCACTTCTTTTATTTCAACTATTCAACTAACAATATGAGCGCAACCGAAACTACTGAAAACCTACCTTGGCAAAGATGGTAAGTTTGTAAACATTACATTATATTTTGCATAACCCTCCTTCTTCTTACTAACTTTCGATCTCTAGTCATTACCTCCTATTTAATGAAGAGAGGTGATAAATCGTCATACCATGGGTGCTTGGCCCAATGCCGTGATGTTGTTGTTTCTTTATCGTTCTCGAGTAGTAACTGGAAGGACCTCGACAACGCTTGGGCTACTCATTTCTTGGTGGAAGCAGAAAGGTTAGACTTGGATCAGGAGGCCTTAAAGAAAAAGATGCGTCTTTTTTTATTTTGCAAAGTAAGGGCAACTCCTAAGCGAGTCGAGGAACTCCTGGTTTGACTTAGGAGAATTACTGTATTTGACAGCTTGGTTTTGTATCCACTTCAAGTCCTCAATGCAGGCGTCCTAATTTTGTTGTTAATTAGGTCTACTGATTCTGGAGGTTGAATCGGTTATGCACCTTCCTTTATTACTAAATAAAAAAGGTGCTTACATACTTATTTCTACAATAGGTAGAATCGGAACATTTGGGGCAGCAGGTGAATTCGTATTGGGAAGGAGTTATCGAGGAATGTGGAAAGGTGAGTAATAGATTATGAAACTCTTGTGTATTGGTGTATTGGTTATATGGTTTGCTAAGCTAAATCTGTTCATTATTGTAGAATACTGCGAAACGGAAACAAAATGTGATCAAAGAAAAAGAAAACATTCGATCACAAACAAAAAAGAAGCTCAAACAACTTTGATTCTTTCAGAAGGGATTTCTTTACCAGAAGTCATTCGCAACATTTTACCAAATTTGACCTATCTAAAGTTGCATAATAAGTCAAACTCAAGCACCGAATCTACAGAAAAACGCTTTCCCGATGAGATCACAAACTGGGTGGAGTTTGAGCAAGAAGTACTAGCGTGGCAACCGGAAGTAAATAAGAAATACCAAGAACCAACGTTTAGTCGGCGTCACTTGTGAAAAAGACATCCGGACAGCATCAGATGTAAACATATATGAGACCTTAACTCCATTTGATCGTTCAATCCTTTTCTTGGATGGTCGTGCTTTGGAGAGTATAGTTGGGCAACCAGATTTCGTAATAGTTAATGGTAATATGATACTACTCGTGGTTTGGGAATGCAAAACAAAGTGGGTTTTGAAAGTATCCCCTAACGAAGATATCGTCACACTATACAATCAGAAAAAAGAGATTCGTGAAGGGCCATTTGTTTGTTCGATATTTGACCCCATAAACCAAACCTATGGCTATATGTGTGCCAATAGTTTGAGGTAAAAAATCTTGTTCTTCCTTTATTATGTTTAATGATGACAGACTTTAACATGACTAATTCATTCTTTTTACAAAATAGGTATGGTATTCTATCAACATACGATCAAACTTGGGTCCTTAAAATGGGAGTAGAGAAAGTAGAGGGAAAAGACTATGGGTGGCTACATGTATCAAATACCATTATGTGTGCATCAACAAACCCTACGTTACTTAAATCTGTTGCCTACATCATCGATCTCGCATCTAATGATTGTTACGCACCTTTCTTAAAAAACCTACGATGATTGCAGATGATTCTAATGAAGATGATAAAGATGATTAATCTTTTCCTGAACAAAAAGACGACAGTGAATTTAAGTATAAGGGTTGCTTACCCCAAATAGGTCCAAATGTTGTAACTCGAAGCCAAAGTGATCGACTGATTATGCAGACTAAACTTTTTCAAGGCAGGCTGTGTCGAATATTGCAAATATTTCTATATTAAGAATTTGTACACATAATATCTCATTCTTAAAAATCATGCAATATCTTCTCCTTGTACTTCTGAATGTACAGATACTAAATTAAGTTTAGATGTTGCATCTATGTAGATTCTAAAATTATTACATCATTTTGTCCAATCAAATCAGCTTATCCTATTTTGATCATCATGTTTATCGATCGTTTAAATTTTTTCCATACTGATTTTTCAAATATAAAAATCCCTTTTCAAATTTTTCCTTTTTCAAAAAGAAAAATTTTCTATTACCAAAATTATTGTTATTTTCTTTTCGTAAGTTTTTGATTTCTTTTTGATAAAATATATTCCATCCATTGAAGATTTAATGAATAATACTTAAAGTTACTGTGATGTTTTGAGTTTACTAAAGTATTGAGGGGACGTTATACATCCGATACTTTCTGAGAACGAAAGACTAGAGATTGAATGGAGTTAATATAAACGCTGTATTAATGTAGATATTTATCTCATTTTTCTTTTCAGTTATTATATTTTTCCAGTAACATGACTCATACACGTCGTCAAATACAAAGAAGAGGTTAGTCAAACCATCAAAGAAAACGTGCAAGAGAGAGAAGAGAACAAATACGTAATAAAGGTGAGCTACCTGGTGGATTTGGTGAAATGCTTGAATTGCAATTATTGTATTAAGATTATTCCTGAACTGTGATTATCATTTTGGGAATGGCTGGGTTCATTAGACTAGTTTCATTTAGTCGAGTTACGCATAGACTAATGTTTTCCTTTTTTTATATATATATTTGATATATATAGGTCATTAAGAGAGTTACGAAGAAGTTTTGACTTTACGAGAACAGTTGGCAACTTCCTTGAAACAAATAGGAATTTTCTTCGTCGAATTTGATCAAGCGTGTGATTTACTAATGGGATTTTCTATTTTTTTGTCTCAAACTGAAAATAGGTTTCAAGATCTTCAAGGAGCTTATGATACCCTGTATCAAGATTTCCTTCAAGTCCAACAAGAAAGGGATCTTCTTTAAACAAATTCTCAAGTAAGAATTATACGAATTCAAGAATTACGAGAGACTTTAGAAACAGTTTGTAGTAGAAATCGATTTATTATGCAACAACTTCTTGATCGAAGTGTAAAATATGGATTTCGTGTAAGATTTTGCCATCCTCATATAGATTAAGTATAGTGTTTCTTTTTTTTTCTTTTTTTTTCTTTCTTTATTATATGAATTATTTACTTATATGTAATAAGAAAGATGTCATACACTTTAGCTGTCTTTAAATTATGCTAGTCATATGTATTTTTGCTATTCTTGTGATTACGCTCCTATTTGTTTCTTTCTTTTTCTTTTATATATAAAAAAAATATAATAATAGAATTTCAGTTAAAGTGATATATTTGCTGATCAGTGAATTCATTTCCTGAATTGTTATTCAAAAATAATATAAAAAAAGGTATCCTCTCGTTTTGTACTATTGGCAAAGCAAGTAGAAAATATGAGTTCGCTTGTTCAATGTCCAATTTGTGTTAAAGTGCCTTTGCTAGTTATAGACTTTAGATAAAATTTTTTATACTTTGATTTTTTTTTTATCTTATTTGTATCTATTTTCTAATATTTTAATAAAATTTTGCATAATATCACCTTTTGTCTTTTAAAAATTTTATAATTCATCATATGTTGTCAAATGTCATCATTCCATGTGATATATAAAATAAAATTAAGTAAAATAAAATAATAATAAAAAAAATAAAATCTCTATATCTTTTTCAATAAAATTCTTTTTCCATTAGCCAAATGATCTCTTTATCAGATTTTACGATCTTAGGGAATTTCTACCTCCTACAAGTATCTGAAATTATTTACTAAAAATTTCCATGCTTTTTACCAGGCTTAGCAATAACTTTCACAGATTTTCTACAGAATTAGTGAAAACCCAAAGCCCTTACTTTTTATTTAAGGCTCAGTATTAATCCTTTTTCTCAGATAAAAATAAAAATAAAAATAAAATTTTTTACATTTTCTCAATTATCTCAGCATTCAGTACTCTGATTTAAATGAAACAAATATCATTGTAATGCTTGACATATGACGGTTCCGATAGTCTAAAAATTATAAAATTCTGATCAGTCAAAGTTAAAATAATAGCGTCTGTAACATTCATATTAGATTTACATTATAATATCTTTTTTTATCTAATAAGGGTATTGGTTAAAATATATGACTTATACCGGACTTTGTGCAATTAAAATAGTACACAAGCTTTTACTGGGTTGGCGAAGGTAAGAATTATCTAATGAGACTTTGTGTATCCTTTGTGTAACTTAAGATCAAAATTCTATTCTCTTCTCTTAAATTTTCAACTTGATTTACTTTTCTTCTTAGTTTTGGCCTGGCAGGAATCACCACTTTGTTACTGGTAATAATCTTCTCTTTATTACTTCACGTAATTTGTCTAAGTTCCTTTGCTGCGGTAAGTAAATTCCTTATTGTCAGACTTTACAACTTTAAGGAATCTTACGTCCTACAGGTATCTGGAATGCCTTAAAATTACTTCATTTTATTTTACGAACTTAAAGATTTTAGAGACTTAGAAAAAACATAGAGAATTTATTTATTTTAAGTAATGAACTCAATCGCAAGTTAGTGTAGTAGTTCACGATCAAATCCTAGATGATGGACATATAGAAGGGAAAAGTAATTGTTTTAAAAGTTGATTCCTTTATTTATTACTTGAAACTCACAAGTATTTTAAAACTTACAAGAGAGTTAATTTATAACATGAGTAAAAAGCTATTCTATTTATACAAAATTAATTTACTACAGCTAACTAATCGCTACGCTATAAACTAACTAAATTTGTAACTACAAGGGTTAATATAATAATGATAATAATTATAAAGATAATAATAAGTATAATAAAAATAATAAAAATAAGAAGAATAACGATAATAATTAAAATAATGAAAATATAGGGAATTAGGAAAATCTAACGAATTATAATAATCCAAAGGATCCAAGAAATCCTAAGAATCCTATGAATCCCCAGAATCCTGTGGATCCTAAGAATCATCAAAATCTAGAATTTTGCAGATCATTTAATTTGTGATCAACATAAAATTAATTCTAGTAACTTTTGTAGATCACTTAATAATTCTTTGTATATCAACTTTTCAATAGTGAATTTTTAATCGGTAACAACTTAAATTTTAATTTAGATTTTATACACTGGTTACAATTATTTATAAATTTTATATTAAAATAAATTTTGCAAGAAGTTGTAACCAGTTGCAACCTAAGTTACAACTTATTGAGTTGCAACTTCTTAATTACAGTATCATCTTTAATCTGAACTATCATCATTGTCATTTTTTTCTTTATTCTCAAGTTGTATCAGATTGACAATTTGTTCTTCAGTAAGGTATTCTTCTGCTAGAATTTCGTGATCAAGTATTTTACATATTACTGATCAAAATTAAAAAAATCACCATTTGATATTCATTGGCAATTCGGACTAAATTCAGAAGTCAGTTAAAAATCGGCTATCATATTTATGATCAATTTATGATATATTAGAAATCAATTCTGATTGGTTTAATAAGACAATGCAAAAATTATACAATTGATAGTAAACAATCATTTCAAATGAAATGATACAATTATTGTTCAAAAAGAATGATTCAATATCATTCTAATTGAATGATGCAAATCTGATAGAAATGATTAAAAAATCGTCCTAAAAGAACAATAGATCATCATTTTTAAATATCATCCTAAAGGGATGATAAATTAATCATTTAATAAGAACAATCAAAAAATTATCTCTTTAGGATGATTAATAATCATTCTTATTGAATGATTTAAAAAATCATCTCAAAGAAACGATGAATCATCATTCTTATTGAACAATTTAAAAAATCATAAGAATGATAAAATATTGTTTCTTTTGAAATGATGATTATTCTATAAGAACGATAAAAAATTGTTCCTTTTAGAATGATGATCATTTGATTTGAATGATTCAATATTGTTTCAATCAGATGATGCAAAATCATCCAATTGAAATGATCAAACTATTGTTCAAATTGACATCATCATTCTAATCAGATGATGAAAAGTCATCTAATTAGAACAATTAAATCATTATCTTCTAAGGGACAATACAAATCATTCAATAAAAATGATGTTTCAATTAGATAATACAACAATCACCCAATTGGTTAGAGTAATTATAAATAAATTTCAGATTAATCAAAAACATTCAGATTAATCCAAAAAAATTTTTTTCCTTTTTTTTTTAATCTTTTTCCTTTCTTTTTTCTGTATTTTTTTTCTTATTTTAAAGACTTTTACCATTTTTTTTAGAAAAATTCTCATTTCAAAAATGTGATAAATCATTCTTTAGGTGAAAATTTACTATTTTTCTTATTTTTCTTGTTTTTTTTTTTTAAAAAAATTTTCATTTTAAAATTAAGTAAATCAGAAACAAATTTTTGGATGAATTTTCCTTTCTTTTTCTTGTTTTTGTAGAAAAATTCTCATTTAGAAATAAGATAAGTAAATCAGAAGCAAGTTTTTGAATGGATTTTCCTTTGTTTTTATAGGAAAATTCTCATTTGAAAATAAGATAAGTAAATCACAAGCAAGTTTTTGGCAGATTTTTTTTCTTTTTCTTGTTTTATAAAGAAATTTCTTATTTTAAAAATAAGAAATGTAAATCTAAAGTGACTTTTAGATAGATTTTCCCTTCTTTTTCTTTTTTTTAGGAAAATTATCATCTTAGATGAATTTTTGATGAAATTTTATCATTTTCTTTTCTTTTTCTTATTTTTTTTAGAAAATTTCTTAAGGTAAGCAAATCATTAGGACTTTTTGGATAAAATTTTATCAGTTTCTTTTCTTTTTCTTATTTTTTTAGGAATATACTATGATAAGTCAATTGAAGGTGAAGTTTTGATTCATTTCTTTATTTTACTTTATATTTTATATATATTAAAAGTGTTTATTTTTAAGGAATTTAAATTTATCAATTATGTAAAATAATAAAAATATAAATTTAATAAATAAAATAAATTTAAATTTGTTATATTAGTTCTGATTTGTGATTTTAGATTGATTTTATATATTGAATTAGGTTATTTTTGGCAAATTATATCTGATTTATATCTGATTTATGATTAATTTATGATTAATTTGTGGTTGATTTAAGTGGTTGAATTAGGATGATTTTTGGCCAAATTGTATTTGAATTATAACTAAATTTAGATTGATTTTAAGCTTAATTTTTAAGTCAAATTGTGTCTGAATTGTTATATCTGAATTGGTTCTATTAGCGCTGAATTGTGCCAATAGGAATTAGACCAAATTTATTACAATTCAGTCATAATTCAAACACAATTTAGCCTAAATTCAAACACAATTCAGATATCTGATTTTTGGCCAAATTGTATCATTTCGACTAGTGTATTTTCAACCTTTATCAAATTATCAAAAAAATCTTCAATTTCATTAGCATCAGAATCTGGCTCAAAATCTTGCAAATTAAAATTTATATCATTATCGCCTATATAAGAAGGAAGTATACAAGTCTTAATCCAATAATAAATATAATCTATTAAATATAATATTTAAAATAATTCAAAATCTTTTTAGAATACTTTTGAATTTTAAAATTAATTAAAAATTTTGAATTGTTTCTGAGTAATATTATTCTATCCTTCAGCAATATAATTAATAACTTTCTTAAGATTTAATTTATTTCTAAATAAAAAATAATTAATATTAGTAATTTTATTGTATTTTATTTTTAATGCCCTTTTTTTGTAATAAATATCTTTAAAATTCAGATTGTATTTTGAATATAAATGAAAAAATAACTATTGCAACTCACTTTATATAATCTATTTCAGTATCAAATTTGCGAATTAAATGTTTATAATATTCTTTTTTATATTTAGATTTGAAGCTATGGATAATTCCTATATCTATTGGTTGAAGGTGAGCAGTAATGTTTAGAGATAAATAAACAA